ATTTTCATGACTACATAGACTGCCATATTTGAAGTGTCTGTACTAAAGATTGCTTTCTTAATGATGGCATTTGGTTAATTTACAGAGGTCTGGAATGTGATTGCCATTAATTCAAGAGACAAGAATTTGAGGAACCCAGATTATACAAATCAATGTAATCTCTTAAGGCTGAGCCCATGTAACAAAAATGAAGTTATCCATATTGACATGGATTATATGAACTTTATTATTTTTTAGTTCATCAATCTAAAAATCACACATATCAGATCAAACGAGTACCACGGTATGCTTTATTTTGCAGATATTGATTCGATCACTAGATCATTGTACCCCAAACTTTTAAGTAGCAGCAAACAGCAGTTCTTCAAAAGATGCTTAGGTGAAAAACAGTTCTTTCTATCTTGACTTGAGTCCTACTGTTGATGCACTGTTGTACTGACATCAAAATATACTTGGTGAACAAAGCTAGCTGAACACTCAGTTCATTGTTTTGGGGCTTTCTGTATTTTACTGGAGGTGAAGCAGCTTTTGTTTTAACCCTCTGTCAATATATTTTAATCTTAATTCTTAAAGAATTAAATATATTTGCTAATTATCTTAAAGCTAAGGTAACTAATGAGGAATTGTTAGGAATGTCCTACCCAAAAGGTATAAAACTTTTAAATGAACTCTTCATTTTGAATGTATCTGAATTTTCAATTCATGTACTTAGCAAGGTCACAAGATGATTTAAATTATCTGGCTTCTAAACAATCATCTCCAAAATATTATTGAAATGAAGCCACTGATCTTTATTTGCCATCAGTTTGACCAAACAGCAAAGAAGCAATTGTTTTCAAAGGAGAACATTTTAAAAGAAAACATTCTTTATATTCTTGGCAAACAGCAGCGAGCCTGAATCTGCAAGTCAGAGCTAGAATTCTAAGGGAGATATAATTGAGCAATCTCTCTCCAATGGGGACTATTATATGCTTTTGAGATGTACATACAGATAAAATAGTAAAGAAAGATAATGATGATTTTTTTTATTTTAACAAAATTTTCTAATTCCAATTACTGCCAAAGAGTTCTGGCATCAGGGAACACGGCAAGAGAGTGGTGAGCATCTGCACTGTGCTGAGAGGTAGACAGGAACTTAATCCTTGGATTTAACAGCAAACTAACTTTATTTCAGGTTTAGACTTAATCTTTTAATCCAAGGAATATTTTTAAGTGAAAGATGATCTTTGGAAATTTTTGTCTTTAAGTTATATAGAGATAAAATAGCTTGATAAAATAAACATCATAAAGCAGCTCTTTGGGCCACAGAAAAATACAACAAATAAAGGGCAGTTCAACAGGCAGTTCAAGCAGACAACAGAGGGGAGGTCTCTTGTACTTTACTCTGAGAAGCCACGGCCAGTAGAAGTCCCTATAGGAATCTACGTCCCTATCAAATTCAACATATTTATAGAGTGTCCTGGGTCAGCTCTGGCTAGACAGCTGTCCAACTGCTGACTCTCGGGACCCACTAACCACTAGAGTTAGCACTTGCTGCTTCTGAGAAAAAAGAAACCAACATATTAAAACTATCTACTAGAAGTCATTCATCTAGTGAATGGAGAGTACAAGAGGCATACAAAGTATAGTTTTTTGTTTGTTTGTTTTGTTTTGTTTTTTAGTGGAAGATGAATTAACTTTCTGGACAAATGAAGGCCCTAAGAGAAAAAAAAATTCTACACCATAGCCCTAAAAAACTTAATAGCAACATCTTAAAACAGAGCTGAAGACCTTTTTTTATCCTTCAGTATAAATGGCAACTCCGAGATAGCATTTTCCAAACTCAAGAAGGAAAATAAAAGATGGGAGACAGGAAGGGATGGTTGAAGAAGACCAAGTGGGGAGGGAGCTTGGCCGATGGACTATGTGATGGACTATGGGTACAGTGTGGTAACAGCTGAGGGGGGGGGCCTTTATTTCTGAAACACAAACAACATTGTAAACCAATGTTACCTTAATAATAATATTAATAATAATGCTATCCTTTTAAAATAAGTCAGCTTTAACATTTTAGCAGTAATAAAGAAAACAGCCAGACTTTTACTAATAAACATAATATGCCATTTCTGTCTTTTTCCTTTTTAACTAGCAGATAAACACAGATTTAAATAATCCTAATTAGGAAATGGGGAAAGGAAGTCTGATGATGAACCAAATTGTATGTTTGCCACCAATGGAAATTAATTCATTATGTTCTTGAGTTTATTTCCTGAAGCAAGTTAAATGTTCTAACAGCTTTGATTTTGCCAATAAACTCAAAGTAGCAAAATACAAGTAACTGCAACATATAAAACTATACTTCAGTAGAAATGCTTTCATAATTGGATCGGCTTAATATCATTTACTAAAAAAATTCTAAGCCACAATTTTTCTTTCAATTACACTTTAACAAAGGGCGAAAAAAAAACAGAAATTGATCCTAATATGTTAAGTACTACTCATGCCCAAGTTAACTAGCAACTTATTGGGCTTAGTCTGCATCTCATATACAATCATTGCACAGCATTTCCTGGCTTCTAGCCAATGGAAACATAATTTCTGATGGCCAAAAACAAAAAAAAAAAACATGAGATTTAACTGACTACACAGACTGATAACCAGTACGACTTTTCCTTCTTCCAATCATGTAAGAGATAAAGACAACAATTATTAGGAAGCCCAAGGCTACACCCACTGCAACAGGAATAAGAAAGTTGAGGTCAGAGTCAGCAGAACAGTCTTCAGCTGTTAGAAAAGAACAGACAGAAAGCAAGGAAAGGGAATTAGTAAGGAATGCAATTAAGCAGAAACAAGCAAACAAGACATAAGCATTTTGAAAATACACATGGGTTGGTCTTCTATAGCATTACCCATTTTCTTATTTTCTCTCTAGCCACCCAATGATTTCTAAGCAACTGATTCTTATTATCAATTCACCTCAATTCACACTTACTTCCTTAGTACAAAAAAACAAGTTATGGGAAGAATGGGAAAGAATCCAAACACAGAACTGTCCTTGCCTTAATATGGGTAGATTTTTATGTTTAATTGCCTAATGGCACTGGGAAAAGAGCTATCATCTACATTTAAAACCACTGCCTGTGTATTTCCCATTCCCTTTCTCCCTCGCCACAACTATGATTAAAATGTAAGAATTCTGTATAAGTAATAAAATTTAAGTTCAGAAGGGCTTAGGATCAAGAAAAATGCCATACAATTTTCCCCACATAGACTTTAGGTAGCTATCAGGTGTCATATAATTATTGTTAGCTGAGCGGTGACCTGGAAGAAGTCACAGAATTCAACACAGTGCAGTGCACCTGCCTAGACCAAGAAGGCAGGGAGCATGTGCAATGCAAGTTTGGGGTTCTGGGCTCAGAAAAAACAGAGTTTGAATCCGTTGTTTTTTTTTTTTTTTGAATTGGAGTAATCCTCCAATTAGTAGCTAAAGGACCTTGATCAAGTTATTTAACGTGGACCTCATTTTTCTCATCTGTAGAAAGGGATACTACTACTCAGTGATAAGGTGTGAGGATTAAGTACAATTCTATTTCCAAAGCATCTGAAGCACATCAGGTGGTCACAAGTGCACATTCCTTCCCTTTTCTGCCTGTTTGTGATCCCATCCAAAGTTTAGCTTTTGCAGTAGCAGCTGAAGATCAAAATGGGAATATTTTAGCATACTGTTATTGAAAACATTCAATATGCAGTACTTTTAAAAATATGTAAGCAACGTTGGTATCCTGAGGTAACTGTTGAAAGTAGTACAGAATTTCCACGTGCCCAACTGTGAGCTCAAAATTCCAAATTTAAACTAGTATTACTATTTATTTTTATCAGCATGCTACTAGTGGCTTTTCCCCCACTAGAATAAGTAGCCTCAGTGAAGTCACTTCCCTACTGGAAAATTATGGAGCTGGGTAAATAATCTTTAAGATCCTATTCCATGGTAAGTCTAACACAACTAGCAAAATGCCATCATCAGTGTGGTTTATGACTGAATAACTTGTACTTTTTCTCTCATCTTAATTTTCCCTTTTCTCGTACTTTTGTCATTCACTAAAAAAAAGCCATTCCAAAGGTTCTGAGTCTCTAGCATGAATTTCAGTAATGATATTAGCTTTTGTTAAAGGGATTTACTATACTTGACTGAAATGCCTTTGAGTGATAGCTGGGTGCCCAGATGCAATCCTCAGTGAGTTACAGAAATTCTGAACAGATCAATATATACATAGAACTAATTAATAATCACTTAATTGTGAAAGTTTTTGTCAGTCTATCGATCAAACATCCTTTTTTGTCTATATATCCAACCGCATGTATAACACAGAGTGTGCTTCATTAGAGGCTGATTATATAGCTCAGTTGAATGCCAACAGCTTCTCTGTACACCCCCATCTACATTCTGCCACACAGGGGCCTTCTTGAAGAAGAGCCTAGTTGCTATGCTTCACAGCTTCCCTTCTGAGATTGCTGTTAGCTTACATTTCATAAGTACCAGTCTGATGACAACACTAAATAGATTTTAATGCTCTAGAGACCAACACGATGAAGTAGAGAAACACAACACAATCTGTCCTAATTAGTTCATAGAATATTTCTATCTTTCAATGCTAATCAGGCATCCAAAGAAGAAAAACACCAATAAAAAAAATGGCAAGAGAGCAAATGTGCTTGAACTTGTCCAATCTCTATTAAGGACAAAGAAACAATTTTTTTTCGTAAACACTCAAATTCTGAAGCAAGCTAAATTTCTGTTGTGGCCTCTTGGGTCTCTTTTTTTACCTAGGGAAAAATCACAAGCCTGAAATACTTACTTCATTCTTCACTTGAAGTCAAAGAAATCAGCAAAAGTCACAAAGGCTAAAAAACACTGATGGTCCTGAGGACATTCAACTGAAAACCAAGTTTTAGCATATTTGATGGGCATTTATGCCACACCAATATGTATTCATTGAATTATATGCAAAGGCATTGCGCTAAGTGTACATTAGAATACTTTTCATACACTGAAACAGAACATCGGTAGTTGGACAATATTTATTAATTCCATTAATAACTACATATTTTATTCGAATAGTGTCCATGTTAATAAATTAAAGGCACCTGAGGCTAGGATCAAAATTTGATCAAGGCTTTTTAAGACAGACCTTAAAACACTGCACACCGATGTTTTCCTTAACAAAGTTTGCCTTCAGGACCAGGAAATAACATTTTTATTTTAAGCAGATCAAAGAGAACAATTTTTATTATAAAGACTTATCTCAAAAATCTGAAACTGATTTAAAGAATTAAACGTTTCAACATTAGCAGTTTTAAGGAGGAAGGTGTTTGCAAACTGAGAGGCAAGGAAATCTTGTTAAGTACATGGATTTTATATAACCGATCAGATTGTCAGTTCTAAAACTGCTCATATCCAGCATGATGGCGTTTGAGACCAATAAAGTAAGCCAGCAACACTAGGATAAGAACTACTGCCAAGGCTGCTCCCACCGCTATGGGCACAAGGAAGTTGTCGTCATCTGCACTGCAGTCTTGCGCTAGATATGGAAAAAGGACAATTGAGAACAAAAACAGTGACAAAATTTCAAATCTATACATCAGAGATCAATTTATTATTAATCTACAATCATAACGTATATTATAATTATAGATTAACTTCCCAACATACATGTTTCTACACCAAGCTAACAAACAAGTCATCGGTATTAACTACCAGCAAATGAAATGTGGCATGTGATTCTCCTAGTGGCCAAATTGTACATTTTAAGTACCCCCCAATATGCAGTCATTTTGTATGAAAGATACATAAAATGATCACATACTTCCCAGATTTCTTAAACAGAAGATAATGGGTAAATGTAATTAGCCTTTCCTTGAAGATCAGGCTGTGAGCTTTCAGAGCTTAACTGTTAAAAGATGATGCAGAAGCACAGTGCCTGAACACCAGATGGTGAAGTATTAATGAAATAAAACAAATGAACAACTATACAGAGCAGACATAAGGAGGACTCAACGCATAGCAATCTGATTCAGTAGTGGGAAAAGCTCTAATCTGGCCCTGAGGGCAGAACTCATGATGTTCAGTCTAGTTTGAGAGTCAAACAAGAAATCAGTGGTTATCATTTCAAATGTCCTACAGTAGGAGACAGGCAACACAATGCCATGGACATATTTCAGAGGCACACTCAAGTCAGCCTTTTTCCACAAGACATTTTAAAGAGGTGACACTGAAGCCGAGTTTTTAAAGATGAGTAGGAATAAGCCATCCAGGTAGTGATGGAAGGACACTGCAGGAATAGAATAGCATACAGACAAAAATATGGAAGGTCAGAAAACACAGCACTTCATGCAGATAAGTAGGCATAACTACAAGATAAAAAGTCTTGACTGAAAGAAGCAGGAAAAGTATACCAGGACCAGTTCACAAAGGCAGTTTGTTCCAGTTAGTAACTTGGTGTTAATACTTTTCTGATGGCCACAGAGAAGTACATCAGGATTAAGAATATTTGTTTCAGAAGTCATGGCAGATGCAAGACTGGAGGTACTGTCAGAAGACACCTCTATTGCTCAGTATGATCCTAAGTTGGGTTCACTAAGTGCAGATGTAGAAGAGACAGCCTAGAGATCTAATAAGGCTGGACTGGCTAAATGGATGGCAGGGTGTGGTAACAGAGTCGGATGGCTTCCAGTCATTCACCTGGAGTGATTGTGTAGATGCTGGTGCCATTCATCAAGGTAGGGAATACAGGAAGAAAACATTTCAGTGTTGTTTGTGGTTCATTTTGTGAGGGGGGATGTGAGAGGAGAGGTGGAGAGGAAATTATAGAAGAGGTTTGTTTGGATCTGCTCTTTAAGATGCCTGGATCCCAACCAAGTCCCATGGACAAGGATATTTCTCAGCAAGGGCAAGTATAAAAAGAGATTCCAAGATAAGGGACACACCAATATTTGAGGCACAGACAAAAGGAAGAGGAAAAAAGCCAAGGAAGGAAATAGCTTCAGTTAGCATGGAATAGTGTAAAATATTAGAGAAGTCTAAGAAAAGCCCATGGACCTAGCAATATTGGAGAGTGGGAAATGAATAAAATGACTGCAGGTTTGGGAGTGAGTGAAAAGCTACCAATTAGGAGATCAACAACGTAGGATGGGAACCATTCAAGTTTATAACAAAGGACAACAGGGATGTAGTTAGAAAGGGGACACAGGGTTTCTAAAGAGTATTATCAGGGTGAAAGAGACAAATGTTTATGGGATGAGGAAAATGACTATCAGCAATTGACAAGTTGAAGATGCTGAGTGGTACAAGGTCTTCTAGGAGGCAAAAGAAAATAAATTCCAGAAGCACTAATCAGCAAATGAAAAACCAAGTCTGGAAAGGAAGAAACAGTGGTGTGGATGAGGCTATTCTTGCAGAGGGAAGCAAGCTAGAATGTTGAGGCATCTCTTTAAATCTTTTTCCTTCTCTGGCCTCTTATTGTCCTAGTTCTCCTAGCTTGCAATCTTCCAGGACTGATAAATCAGCCAATTAAGCTTATTAGAATTCTGTCAAGAATGAAAATGAATAGGCTACAAGGAAAGTCTGATTGTGCTTGCATTTAGAAATCTGCCAGGCTTTTGCTGGCCTCTGGGGCATTAACTGGGAACAAGATGCAATCCTGGAGTTTATGGACTTTATGACATCGACTCTGGCTGCCAGCTCAGTGATCTTTTTTATTTGCTTCTTGTTCTGGTAAAAGTCCAGATAGCTGAGGGTGCCAGATGTGACTTGTGAATATATGGTGTCAAGAACACTCAGATAGTGCCTCTCCTTCAATTTCCCAAATTACCATTCAGCATATAAACTATGAGGTGATATGTACCATAAAGTATTATGCCTTGCATTTAATATAACTTGGTTTTCAAAAAAAAAAAAAATCGCTTAATTTCTTATTCTGGCAACGGGTTCATAGTCCTCTCTCCCAAATTGGGTATTTGACCTAGTACTGAAACGACTTTCATAAATACTGCCAATAGGGCTTTCATATAACACAAATATTCCCAGAGTAGATCAAAAAGGCAATTCCGCTAATACAAAGATCTTTCCAGATGCTGTCACTTACTTAAAATGCTCTCAATTAGTATGTGAAGTATTAATTTATAATAACTATTGATTTTATGAATTCAACCTTTAAAAATTCTTTAGGTTAATGGAAATAAATTTTGGTGAAACAGTAATTTTAATAGGATCACATCCGAAAAGAAAATCTCATTCCATTAAGTCATTTGACCTATCTATTTAACTAATGTACACTTGAGACCATACCAAAAATATTTCAGGGGAAAGGAAAAGTACCTTTGTGGGAGAGTTTGTAACAGTTACGAAGCAGTGAAGATCTTTAAAGAAAGTTTCATGGCTATTAAAATTTCAATGAAAAGTCTCATGTGGATCAAAAAATGTTAATTTTCAATTTGCTGTTAGTCTATAATTTTTCTGAATACAATTTTCAGTGTATGAGTTGGAAAACCAACATATTTATAACAAAATGTAAAATGATTCAAAACCAATTGGGTTGAAATTTCTTTGCAGGTTCTTTGGTAGAATCAACATGAAGAACCACACTGATATGATATTGTGTACTCGTTAGCTCTAAAGACAAACAAATATATCACATACATCTAAAAAGATACTTATAACTACCTCTTATCGCCCTACCATGTCTACTAGACTACCTCCAAAATCAAGATATGGTAACTACTGATGCAAATATTTAGCTACTGGGGGAAAAGGTAAGGAGATGAACAGGAGAGGAGCTCAAGACAATTAACATTACCTAATGAAAGAGATAAAATGCTTTAAAAATCTTAAAAGTGAGTCTTAGAATTGCTTCTGAAAAAATGTACAAAACTTCAGGTGGTGCACACCATGTGGAAGTATGTGATTCATAACAAGTAGCTTCTTATCAGATCCCTTCCACAAATGCTCAAATGTGCATTTATTTTCATGAAATATAAACTATCACTCAAAGGAATATAAGAGGACTGCAACAAAGCCCTTGGCCCCCAAATGAAGAAACTGATATGCTAGAAATTAAGCAGCTTGATAAAAGTCACATGGTAGTTAGCAGAAGAGATGGGAACCCCAAGGATTAACTGGCAATCACATGGGCTTAACAAGTCAAGTTGCATGTGTTTTTGTGCCACACTAGGGTCTCTGGAACATTATCTGGAAATTGGAAAGTTTTGAGTATTTCAGGGTGATCCAAGAAAGAGGTTGCACACAAAACTATTTTGCTTTGGATCAACAATTTGGTTTATATGATTGTAATATAAAGCTGCTATGTAGAGATAATAAATTTCAGCCTCAATTTAGGAACCAGGGAAAATGTACAAAGAACTACTCTGAAATAAACATCCTAGATCACTCATTCCCTAATTGATTACACATTAGTTTCTGCTAGCATTTTCTCTCTTACACATACACACAAAACACACGGGTGCACGCGCACGCGCACACACACACAGTTCATTCCAGACCCACTAAGCTAAATCCTCTAGGAATGTAGTTTGAGAGTCTGAATTTTTATAATGGATGATTCTTAGTCTGTAGCAGGCTCACCGTCAGTAGAGACCTACATGTGGGACAACTTCCAGTGAGTAATACACAGAACAGCCGGAAATAATTTAGTTCTACTATTATAAGCATTTCTGAAGTTTTTCTTTTTGGAAGAAATTGCCATTGTATAGTATACAAAATCTTGACTTTAACAGCGGGAAAAAATGTGAGCAAATTTCCTTAAGAAATAAAAGAATCTTTATTGTTTGTTTTAGAAGCAATATGTTGAGCAAATGGACAGGCAAATATCTAAAGAGAAATACCATACATCAACTATTGGTTTTAAACATTTGAGAAAAAGACATGAAAAGTATTTACATGGACCAGTTTCTTTATACAAATGCTAAGACATGAAAAATGCCCAGAACCAAATAAAGTATTAGACCATCAAGGTGTTAACCCAGTAAAACAAACAAAACTACAAGAGGTACAAACAACATGTGGGTATAGGAAATAATCATGTAAATAACAGTATGTCAACTGGCCCATGTAAGATACAAAAATATTCAATGAAGTCAGATTTTTCTATAAAACAGAGCTTATTAGAGGTATTTTAATATGAATCAGGTATATAATCTAAATGTAGAAACTTTTATAAACATTAACAGCATTAAGCCCAAGCCACCCATTTGTGCTTCTAATTTTTATTTTAAAAAAAAACTTAACTTGTGAGAAATATCTAAGGCCCACAACATTCTTATAAGCATTCTTTAAAAGTTATAACAATCTTACACTAAAACACTACTTAAATAAAGTTTTTAGAAATCAAATTTATTATTTGTCTTTAGAAGGTGCTTTAAAGCTGGCAATGCAGCTCAATGTAGCTTTAAGGGAAGGGCTAGTCAGGAATTTGATTCCAAGCCAGAAGATTTTCAGGATTCTCTAAACAGCAAATCTAAGTAAGAGAAAATATTTAGCACTCCAATATAACTCAAGGTACTTACAGACATACAGATGCTAACATTCAATCGCCTCTGTATGTGTGTACAGCTAGACTACCAAATTCCTTCAACACCCATATTTTGAAATCCAGCTATCTCCTTATCTTCCAGTGAATGAGGAGCACCTCTCTCCACACATAAACATGAGCCTTCCATACTTAGCTGCATATTAATGCTTTCTGAACATTTGCTCAATATCAAAAAGAAAAAAAGACTCCCCAAAGCAGCAGGAAGTCGTTAACATGTTAACTATCAAGCTGAAATGCTTTGCTTTCTCATATAAACATAAGGTGGTGCACAGTAAATGGACAATTACTGCATCTCCCCAGGGCACAAAACTGAGCACAAAGTACCTGAATTAATAATTATGCTACCATAATGAACAATGACAATGTAAGCTTTGATTAGCAAAGAACCATTTAAATGTGAAAGTCAAACTAGTAAATGTGGTGGCCATCAATGCACGCTGGAAACAAAAACAACTTTCCAATGAACTAAGAGAAGACCAAGACTTTTGGGTTAGGTGCAAGTTACATTTATAAGCGTAAGTGCACTTCTAGGTTCCAGGACATACTGGCATTTCTTCTTTAAGGGAAAGAAAACACTACCACCAACACAGATACTAGAAGGCTACAGCAAAATCTACATTAATTTCAGCACTCCGTGTAGAGGGCAATTTATGGGTACAAGGGACTAATGATCTATATTGGCACTGCCTAGCAATTATTTCTAATGTTCCTACATGGCTTGAAATGCCCACTTGGAATAGTCTTGTGTCTTGCCATCTAAAAGACTGCAACATCCAGGTTTTTCTTCAAAAAGGATTAAAGAGTAAGATTAACACCTATTCTAAGTTTTAAAAAAGCTTGTATCTTTGTCATTACACTCACATTAAATACAATGTGTATTCAAAAGGCATTAGAAAAGCATTCATTAAAGAACATAATACTAGACCCTGTTCAAATCTACTGGCTTATCTTTCATAGACCGGATATGCAGCAATGCCAAAGCAGCTAAGTTAACCTGCAAACAAAAATCACAAACACATTTGGAGCAAGTACAAATCCACTGCAGAATGTCTTGTCTCAAATGATTACATGCAGGAAGAAAAATTTTTTTTAAAAAATTGGTTTTCCTAAACTGTGTGTTTCTATTCAGAATATCTAAAGTGAAAACACCAGAACACTAATTCAAGACAATAAAATACAACCTATAATCTAGATAATTTGGTACATGCCTTTGCTATAGAAATAGCTTTAAATTCCTTGGTTGGGAAAGCAAAGTCTTATGACTTATTTGTATTTTATAGTTTGGGGTATTTTTATTTAAGTGTGAAAGCCCCCATATCACTGATTCCAATCAACTGCAACTAAATATACCTTAAATTGAACAGTTTTGCATGTTGGAACTTGTACTTGCTTTATTGTTTTATAACAGATCACATGTGGATTAATGTTACAGAGTCTGATATCCAGCATAACTCTTTCTTCTGCCAATTAGGTAAGCAATCACTATAACGATAATCAAGCCTGAAAGACCAGCACCAACTATAATTGGTATTAGAATGGTGTCGTCATCCAGCGAACACTCCTGGGCTGTAGGTGAGAAAAAGTGTGTAATAAATAATGAGTATAATCAAAAAAGGATCTTGGAATTAAAAGACGTTGATTCAAAAGTTAGAAATGCTCTTAACAAAATCAAACTTTAGTAATTAAGACAGTATATTTTGATGACAAAATTACAGAAAATTATGGTTTAAAAATAAAAAGCATAAAACAAACATGTCCTTTCAGGCATGTGTGTTTGCTTATATAGACACTCATAGGTATTCATAAATAGGAACACATATACAGGTTTCCCTCACTAGCCAAAAGTAGTGCTTCTAGTTGATATGATTTGGTAAGTTATTTTGTGGGTCATACCAAATTAATGAGGGAAACTTTTGGTTTGAGGGATAGTGAGGGAAACCTACATAAGCACTGACTGTTGAGTAGGCACATTTAGTATTGTATGGAACACATACATGCATGCATATATCATACACATATGTTTCTATCCCAAATCCTTTCCAAAAAAGGAGTGTGACCGTATCAGAAATGAAGAGAGCTAACCTAGTCCATTTCTAAAGTCAGACTAGCCTCTCCGTAGTAGAATACTTTTTGTTAAACTGGGAACAGATCAAGAAAATTTAATCATAGGAAAAAGATAGGCTGTTTCTGGAATCCTTTAAGGTGGAGGTCAGCAAACTGGGAGTCTTATCTGGACTAAGGGCTACAAATGGCCTTTAAAATTTTAAATGGCTAGAGGGGAATACAAAACTTTTTTTGTGATACATAAGAATTACATGAAATTCAAATTTTAGTACCCTTAAATAAAGTTTACTGGCACAAAGTCACACTCATTTGTTTACTGTGTATGGCTATTTTCCTGTTACAACAGTAGTGTTGAATAAACATGACAGAGAACATCTGGCCTCCAGACTTAAAGCACTTACACTGTCTGCATTTGCAAAAAAAAAGTTTGCAAAGCCTTAATTTAGGAGTGTGAGAGAGGCCAGCAAAGTCAAGAACCTGAGACTTCTTATAATAGAGGGTTACCACATTTCTCACTCTGATGAGGGCCAGCAGCCTAGTGACTACCCTACGTGGTTCCTAGAGAAGTAGTATGATCCAGTAAGATCCAGTCAACACTTCTTACCTTACTACAAGTCTATTTTCTCCTCCTATACAGCCAAGTATTACCAGTGTGTTGTAGTTATAGGGGCCCACAGTTCAGAACCTAGCTCCACAGACTGTACATTCATTATTAGTATTACAGGCTGTGTGCACCATTGGCTCTCATTTGTAATTCTATGTACATAAAAACCAAAGTTTCAAATTATAGAAAGACACACAGCTCATCTCTGTTACAGCTGACTAGATAAACAGGCCTGAGCTGATAGTAACACTGTTGACTAGATAAACAGGCCTGAGCTGATAGTAACACTGTTAATGATTTTAAATCATGAACACAAAGCTGGACCTAAAATTAAGATAATAATGTAGGGGAGCTAAGATAAAGATTCCAAAAATAAATCTATTTTTAAAGGATCTCAATAATTAAAGTTCACCACCAAAAATGACAAACAGGAAAATCAATTCTTGAAAAGACTTTGAAAAGTATGATTAATCTCGCTGGGAGGAGGATGGGGAAAGAAAAAAAAAATGTAATTAATCTCTCCAGTCACAAGAATGGTAGAGTGAAGAGCCTGACTTATTTCAACCTAACCAAATCAAGCTTCGTATGCAGCACTACTGCAAAGGCAGTTGAAGGGCTCACAGTATATTTTTTAAAAGCAACTTCCACATTTTCATCTAAATGACAGAATTGTTAAAAAGACTGTGTCTGACTGGAATAGCTCTGCTCAGCAGAGCTGTGATCTACACACGCTCAATTTTATGTAATTAGCTTAAATGGAAAAGTCAAGTAAGGAATTTTATTACTTTTCTTTATGCAAATTTTAATCTCATAATGCCAAATTCATGTCTCACATTTGTATAAGCACACTATACTGAGCCCTTCACAAAGCTTTCACTAAAATCTGATAAATACCATCATAAACCCTGAGCAGAAGTTCAAGAAGCCTCTTTCACACTGGTATACACTTTGAAAACGGTCCAGATCATTCTGGCTGTCCAAAACAGAATTCATGATATTGGAGCCGTTGCTACCTCAATCTTTCCTTTTAATAAGCCAAACTGTTTTTATCCAGGTCTGAACATGTTTCTGGCAAGATGATCTCAAGGAGACAGATGCAAGATGTTCAAGGTGCTGCTGCTCCCCAGTGCCATACTACCCCCAAACACAAGCCAGGGTAGTGGGGGCGTCCACAGCTAGAGTCAAGCTTACTTAGTGCTATCAACTTACACCTTTAGGAGTTATGCTGTTTTCAGATCACACACACAAAAATTTACTTTGAGCCAAAGTATGAGTGAAAATCTAGAGTTACACAGCTTGCTCAAGGCTAGGACTCTACCATAAAGCCAAGAGGTAAATTCCTATCTCTCTACTAGATGCTTACTTTTCTGTGACTCACAGGAAAAGTTACCTATCAGTCAAGATAAGAACATAAATTATTTATAAAAGTTGTTTGACTCTTACCTGTAGAATATTTTCCTTCCATCACATTAAAAGGCTGAACCCTGAGATCGAAGGTATTTATCTGAAATGTTCCAGACACTGGAACAGTCTGCTCTTTGTTGCACATGTACGAACTTCCCAGTGGGGCATCCCAAAAGCTAAGATTATTATTTTCCATGTTGAAAACTTTCAAGAAAAGAAATATGTTATTAACATCTTATATCGACATAAAAATAGGACAGTTCTCAGGAGATTTCAGTTTAGGGTATAAGGTCTACCCACAAAAGACAATTCTGATGATATTAGCTCCCCTATCTTTCTATAGCTGTCCCAGAGTCTAAAAATCAGTCATATCCTTGACAATTATCCACCATGCTTTAAACTATGGGGTACTGCAAAAGCTCAAACACTAATTCCAAGTTACTGGTTTTCAGTTGTGGTTCAAAGTACAGTTTTCACGTAGAACTTTCTGTTCCGTTAAATCAGGCACTATTTGGTAGGAAAATAATTATGGGTTCTATTCCTTCAATGTAATCCACTCTGTTCCGCATTGCTTACCAGAGCCATTAGTTAAAGATATGCTGACATTCACTTCTTTCAGATAGAATCGGTTTTCATTTTTCTGTTTGAAAGAGAGCTCCCAGTTAATCAACATATCATAATTTTATACAGGTACAGTTACTACAGAAGAAAAGCAATCTAACACTATTACCCAGAAGATAAAACCACAGATTAGATCAGGTCAGCAGAATCAACTGTAACTATGTAAATGAGAACTCAAAAGGTGACAAGAACCCCTTTCCTATGCACTTTGTTTCTGATTTTCAGAGCACAGGTGTAATCATGTAGTGCTTAAGACACTCTCCACAATGCATCCCCCTCCCTTTTACTCTTCCTATAACATGCTGAGTCCTCAACACCTCTGACTAGATCATGACAGCCTCTCGCCCAGGCCTTTTAGCCCCTCCATTTCTAACTTCTCCTTCCCTACTGCCTTTCTGAAGCCCTCCTCTGATCAATCAGTCATACAGCGGTTAGTGTATACAAGGAAACATTCAAAATGAATCACACCTTGGGTCCAGACCCCACCATGCTTGCTTCATCTGCCAATGAAGTTAAGACAAATACAAAAGTAACCAAAACACAAAAAAGAAAGTGGTAAGGTGTAAAATTTAAAAGGAAATTACTTCCAACCAGGGGAGAAAAAAACAGCACAAGTTAGAAACAGGCCATTTGAATTGGACAAGATTCAACTGAGGAATAAGCAGAAAAGGCAACAACACGAGTAAAAGTGGAGCTGGAAAATAAGAGCAATCACAAGTAGGCTACTATCTGAGAGCTTCCTGAGTGCCCAGCTTTCCTCTTAAAACTGAGGCTTTGATGAATAACCAGAAAACCCCATTTTAATGTGGAGAAATCAAAGTATAAGGCTACATGGTTAGAAGTCAGTGATCTGGAATTTGAATCCAGGAATTCTGGCTATATGTCCTGTTACTTCTCTCTTCCACATTGGATGGATGTACACAGAGACAGAGGGAGAGAAGCAAAGATTCGCAACGATGGAAATGCAGGTTACATTGCATGATGAAGCAGCTAGAGAGCGGGAGGCAACATGTGAATATCCTGCAATGGGATTTTGATATTATCCTGTTGGCAAAACAGAACCACTGAAGGATTTTGAGGAAGAGCTGTGCATTGGGAAGATTAATACACAACATTAGGAGAGGAGTAGAAGAGGGACTGGTTAGGAGATTGACTAGTCCAGGGAAGAGACAATGCACGCTGGAATCCAGGCAAACGCAGTGGGGGATGAAAACAAGGAGACAGACCCAGAGAATGCAAGAAGAATAAAGATGGCCTTAAAAAATTATCACATCTCGGCTCTCCCTGGTGGCGCAGCAGGTTAAAGCTAAAGCCACTTTCGCATGAGTTCGAATCCCGCCTGCCCCGGAGGAGATCCACATGGCAAGGCAGACCTCTCCTGACCCGCCCGCTGCTCCCCTCAGCAGTATACTTGGTTGATCTGCCTGTTCTACTCCCCACTCTATCCCTGGTGAATCCTCTCACCCTCCGCATCTCTGGCCTGTACCCCAGTTCTATATAAATAAATAAATAAATCTTTTTAAAAAATTATCACATCTCTCCTCGGCTTAGGCAGAGAAGCCCAGTGTTCAAGGCCCTTCACTATTCGTACCAATTACTTTTCAATATTTATCTTTCACTAAACATGCCACATGCCTCATTTTTGGTGTTTCCTTACCTAGTAACCTGTACTTTTCCACTTACTCCCCTTATGTCCCTAAGTACAAATATGACCCATCTTTAAATGTGCAATCAAAAGCAATCTCTTCCTTTAAACCTTTCTGACTCTCCTTCAGTCAGAATTAATCGCTCTTTCCTCTATATTCCCACATCTCTGTTATTTTCCTCTGGTCTAGCACTTTGTATATACTTTCTGTAATACTACAGTGCCCAAGAATCAAGTTTAAAAGCCTCAGCACGGCACTGAAGGCCTTCTCCAATAACAGTGTTTGTATCTCTACCACTAAAGTATGGGCACCTTGGAAATAAAGGCCATGTCCTTTGCACACCCAGCATAGCACACTGTACATGTACTCAATGCAGAAATCTCTCCTTAGAAGCATCTATGATGACAGGGTTGAGAAGGGCCTCTGAACCCCGGTGACATTGTAGGGATCTATGTTGTTCAAAATGCCTTTTTGGTGTGCATTTTCAAACAGTCTGCTGGCAAATTACTAAATATTTTCCCCATGAATGACAAAAGAAACCAAGCTCCTTTCAGAATTTTAAAGCTACAAAGATAAAATTCAATCATTCAAAAGGGAATGAGCCTAAACTATTAACTTCCTCATCCTTATTGACTATAACATAATCCCAATGAGATGACCTTGAAAGAGAATGTGTCTAGAATGTCTGCTTCTAGTACACTGAAGACAAGCTTAGTAGACATTTTTAATAATAATTCAGAGGTCATATATATGCTAATTTGAATACTGAAAAGGGGAAGATTTTTGTAAATCTTTCTTAAAATATAATTGCCTAAAAATACATAAATAAATAAATAATTGCTGAACTCGGTGATGGGAAACCCACGGGGATTACAATCGAGATGAAAAAAAAATGTACAAAGTGATGTAAAAATAAACTATATTTTTAAAAATAATAAAATAATATATATATATATAAAATTGCCTAATATAATCCTCAATTACTGGACATATATTCCATACACAAAAAGGTTTTTGGCTCACTACCAATTTCAGATATGAAAACAAGTAACATATGTACTATTTATATATCTGATATTGAGATCATTTGCCCATCCATAGATACGGTAATCTATCTGAAAAGGAGAACTATTTTATATCCACTTACACAATGACGTAGTTAGATAACTGTTGGCAAGGTCAACATTTCCCTTCACAAGTAGCTCTTCCCATTCCCATTTGCAACAGCCTGTACATGTATACCTCTCAAAAATTATGGGATAAAGTAATAAATCTGTTCTGAAAAGGTATAAATAAAGGTCCCCAATATTATGCTAGCAAGAAAAAGAACAAGTATGCCTAACCTAAAGCTTCTAGTTAGGGTTCAGCCTTTGACACAACAAGCATGAACTGCAAAAACTCAAATGCTGCCAGTATTCTCTATGCTGGTTTGGTGCATTTAAAGTACTTAACACAGAGCCGTGTACATACTGAGTACTCAATAAATGTTAGTTATTGTTACTATTGATACTGTCACAAACAGTATCCCCCCAACCTACAATAAACAACCATGACAGTTTCTGACCAGAAGAAAAATAATATAGCAATTACTTTATATATTTTTTACTCTCTATATTTTACCATTAGGTATATCTATATGGATAGAGGGCTTTTTGATGCGTGTTAATTCTAATTCCTATCCAAAGGTCTCTAACAGCAGAATAACCATTTTTCGTGAACATTAATACAAGAATCCAACCCACAAATCACTGAGCAGATCCTGAGGAATTAATAGGGATCAATGATCTACACTTTATAATCACACCTACTTATTTAGCATTTCAGATGTTTCTAAGAGAATAACCCTAACTTTAGAAAAATCTGTTACTCACCTCAAAGACAAAGTCCAGATAATGAATGTTACTGCTATTCAGCCTAAGTAGAGCAGTCTGAGGATGGCAGCTGCCAGTGAAGTCCGTTACATTGGGGTTGATGTTAATAACCGTAGCAACCTTCAGGAGAAGAAGTTAGGAGTAGGGGAAGGATATAGATTAACCATCAAAGCCTATAGCAAAACCTTATACTCTAAGATGACTGCAGTGGAGAATAAAAATACTTGTCTGGATACCAAAGTTTATGGTGTCTTACTCTTTTTTTTTTTTTTTTTGGTGTCTTACTCTTAAACAGAATTGCCACAAGCCTTCAAACTATGACTCAGATGACTTTAAAAAAAAAGCCTAGAGGGAAGCTTCCTTAGTAATGAGCCAGATAAAAACACATTTCTAAGGAGCCCAAGAGCCATCTGCCCAGCTTGTTTTAAGTTGCAGGACTCTGCAAATGAGATCTGTTTGCTGGCACGCCATCTGTTGCTTCAGTGGAACATTGCAACTAGAAGTAATACTGTGAACTTGAATTGTCAATTTAAGAAACAGAGAGCTGCACTATTCCCATATAGCAACGTACAGTGAGTTTCAGATAAAACTGTGAAATGCTATTTTAAAATAACTGAACTTTTAAAAAAAATAACTGAAATAAGGGTCAGACATTTGTACTCTAATCTACTACTGATGGCAAATGGAATCTAACTGGTAGGTTTCCTGCTGGCTGAGGTAACACCTTGACAGTGCACATCACTCTTGAGGTTATAGTAACTCCAAACTAATCAAAACTTAACAAGTCAACATCAAATCTCCATTTAAAATTAAACCATTCTAGTGTCACACCGCTCTTTGGGCTCTTTAGAAATCTAATTTCTAAAGCAGAATACACCTATTTGCAAGGCAATTTAAGTAAAAAGAAGACAACTACACCTTCTCATCAGTGATGTTCAGCTGCAGTCCCATGGTAGCCAGAAGACATGTGACATTGCTATTCTTGACCGAATAGTTTCCAACCTCTGGTTTTTCCTTTGGAGCAGGTGTTGTAGGGGCAGGTGTGGTGGTGGGAGCAATGGGCGTCACGGTGGTTGTACTTCTATCTTGATAGCACAGATATTCTAACAAAGGACACAGTTAACCAAAGTTGAATTCATTAAGGCCAGGAAAGAACAAAATAGTTTTCCTATGGGAAGGCCAGGAGAAAATAGCTTGGTAGGTTTATTTCCAACTAGATAGAGCACAGGTCTCTAGGATGCAGCAGACCAGCTCCAGACACGTGCAATTGCTCTTGCTACACACACATTCATCTTTTCAGACCTGTAACTCCCTTTATTCCCAAGAATGTCACTCGCTCTGGTGTCAAAGTCAGCGATTTAAGTTTGAAAACATTTCATCTCTAGCTAGGCATCCCTCTTTATTTCCACATACAACCACTATGTGTGGGAGGGCAGTGTTCACCAGAAAAAAAAAGCTGCATAGAATTCATTAAAGGATTTAAATATAAATGAACCTTTTATTTGTATTACCCCATACAACAAATCAACAAGCATTTCAATCTCTCTTTAGTTGTTTTCAAGAACTGATGAGTCAAAAATTATTACATCTCTATACAGTCATACAAAGTTACAAAATCAATTTATAAACTCAAAAACACAGAAATCTAATTTCTAAGCTTTGATCTAGGATCATCAAAAGCTTAAGACCTAGGCCCTCCCTGGTGGCGCAGCAGGTTAAAGCACAGCACTGGGAAGCTAGAGCCACTTCCGCATGAGTTCGATCCCCGCCTGCCCCGGAGGTGACCACATGGCGCGGCAGACCTCTCCTGACCCGCCCGCTGCTCCGCTCAGCAGTGTACTTTATCGATCTGTCTTTTTCTGCTCCCCGCTCTGTCTCTGGTGAATCCTATCACCCTCCACATCTCTGGCCTGTACCCCAGTTCTGTATGCATAAATAAATAAATCTTTAAAAAAAAAAAGCTTAAGACCTAATGATATGATAAAGCTAGTTGAGGATTTGTTTAACAAACATTTGGGTTTATCAGCTGAAAACAGAGGAATTTTGAAAGACACTTCAATAAAATGTACATCAACTTAAAAGTGTTAAGTTTCACAAAAATAGCTCTTGCTTATAAAAAACCTTTAAGGTTCAGTGTAAGCGATGAATACGGCTTATGAAATACATAAGTGCTTTCAGACAACTTCAATTAAAGCTACCCCGTGTCCTCTATACCAGAGCCCGTGTAAATCTACACACGCTTCAAGTGCTTACCTTTTGTGCTCACTGTGCCATTTTGGACAAAAGCTTGAAAGTGAACATCCCAAAAGTACTGGACAACATTATCATTTGCTACATATGATAAACTATTGCACCTATAGATCTCATCCAGTGGAACTGTTAAGTTCATATGGTAATCACTCTTAAGAAGTCCTATAAAATAAGATTGACAATAGTTATTTCCAAGAAGGCGGGAGGAAAGTGCTAATACATTTATATAGACTCCCTTCTCTCTGCAGGCCCCATTCCAATCCTGAAGTGAGAAAAGACATGGCGTGGTTAGGGAATAACAAATCTACTGTGGATTAAATCCAAGGGTGAAGAGGAAAAAAAGCAATGATGTGAGCCAGCAAAGCCAGATGAGTTACAGATGGTCACACTTTGAAGCAATTCCTATGATCTAACATTGGGCTTTACTGTTAGCAATGGAAACTTAGCTTCCATTGTTAAAGACGGAAATAGCAGCAAAATTGTGGGGGATAGACAGGGAAGAAAATGTTTAATGAACGTTTTTTAAGCTGAAAACTAGTTAGAACTCTGTTGCCTGGCTAAGGGGAATAGTGAGTGAGGGGTTGCCTAACTAAGATGGTGAGAGTTGGTAAGAGCAGTGAGACAAGAGTTGAAAACTTAAAGTACAATCAACAGGACTTGAGTGAACAAGAAAGAGAGATGGATTAATCAAGGATTTGAGACAGTTCTCCTACCCACCTGTGACTGCAGGTGCCCGTTTCTCCTTTTCCAAATAAACCTGTCTTTTTAAATGTCTTTTTTTAAATAAAAGATTTTATAGTAAGTGCTTATTTTCACTATCCCAAAGTAAGCTGCAATAACTAAAAGTAGCATTTGGAACCTATTCCTGGATAAAATTTAAAGACTATTCCATTTCAGAAAATCTTCAGAATGTGAAAAGTAGTTACTCATGGTCATTTGGTAGTTTTTACTATAATGCCTATGGCGAAACTTCAAATGATGATTACACTTATTCACCCAAATGACTTCGTTTCTTTTGGAGAAACAGAAAGGAAGAAAGATATCCAAGGTCCTTAATATAAGCTGCCTCTCCATCACGTAGAAAGGCAACCAATTAATGCTGCCAAAGGGAAAAACAAATTTTTTAACCAACAAACTAGAATATTTTTCCTCAAAATTGTTTCTCACTGTTAACAAAAATGGACAGATACATGAACTGGCTTTATACAGATACACCTCAAAGATAAGCAAGTAAAAAAAAAACAAAGTGTAGACATACTGGGGATGTACTATGAATCTATATAATTAGCTATGTATTGTTTATGAACATGGCCATATTAGTCAAAAAGAAACATGAATGGAAGGGTACACCTCAAATTCCTTACAGTGGTTGTGTCTCAGGAGACAGGAAGAAAATGACTCTGGGTAGTAGGGACAAAGGAAACCTCAACGTACCTGGCAAGTTTTAATGTTTAAATATTTAAAAGGAGTCAAATTAAGAGCAGGCATTTCTGGATAACAGGTTTAGGGGGAACAAATCTGTCACTCTAAAATGTATCTCTTTGGTACAGGGGTTGTTTTGAACTGGGTATCTTTAGGAAACAAGATATAAAAGAAGTTACCCTTTGTAAGAGACATTTGTTCATATAAGAAAAAACCTTCACTGGGGATTGATATTATCAGTGATACCTACACAGAGTATGAGCTGGATGTGGTGGGAGTGGGGGGGCCTAGCAAAGTCTGCTAAAAATCCCTTTGGGTCACACTGTCTCTGCCTAATCAACAGACACTTGTTTACCAGAGATTTGCTTTTCCCATGCTCCCGTAAATCGTCTTCCCCACTTTCAAAGTCCCACACCTGTTCCCCAACATTCTTCTTGTCTTTAATGAAGTGGCAGCTTTAAGAAAATAGCCTAAGTCATTTCAGGGAGTTGCTCCATTTTCCTGGGTGTCTCTTGGATATAGAAGGTATACATATTTATTATTCTATCTACTTTTCTGTATTTTAATCATAAAACAAGTTAATATAAACAGCAGCTTCAAAGTTACTTCAATTATCAGATGCCTAAACATAAAAAAAAATTATATTTAGCCAAAGTAAACTATATAATCAAAAGCCCATTTTAGGAAATCACTTCAAATTTTAAATGTTATATAAAAGCTAGTTTTAGTAAAATGGGTCCTCCGATTACTTAAAATAAAAGGGGTAAAAGACAGGTTAACAATTTAGAATCCACTGTTTTTCCAGTGAAATATATCAGATTAGACCCCACTTCCTTTCATCACTGTTACCCCCTTGATCTAGGCACTAAATATACAACATTCCTTGAGTACAACAGCTTTTTTAGCTGGCATCTCTGCTTGCGGTCTCCTTACTTCCAAAATAATCCCTCAGAACATTCTTTATAAAATTCTGTCTCTGCATTTATTGCATCATTGTCCCACTTAAAAATCTACAATGATTCCCCAGTGCTTACTGCATCAAGATTAATTTAGACCCACTGCACTAGCCAATCTGACTTTCCTTTCACTACACACCATCTCCATTTTAATAAGGCAGCTTTCCAATTACTGCTGCTCAGACTATGCCTCCCCCTGCTGGAAATATTCTCAAAATTCTCTGCTTACTCAAATTTATCAGGCTAGTTTCAGTTCAGATCCAACGTCTTTATCACTTTCGCTCTGACCCACACTGTACTGTCTTTTCTGCTCCTCATCAGGACCTTTGTCATCAGGTATTGTTAACCACAGACATCAATAGATGGGCTCGTCGACATGTACCATGTGCAAAGTTTACTCCATATTTCTTTGAGAGGGTCTAAGAGCTCTCCTCTTGTCAGAAAAGATTCATAATCTTACACATACATACCCCAATAAACACACAGCCAGGGCCTCCCTGATGGCCTAGGGGTTAAGTTTCAGTATTATAACCACCATGGCCTGAATTCAATCCCCGACCAGGGAGCTGACCCACATGGCTCAGCACTTCTGTCTCACACACTGCTCCCCTCAGCAGTGTATTTCATAGACTGCCTGTTCTGCTCCCCACTGTCTCTGGTGAATCCTCTCACCCCCCTCCCCTGCCTGCATTTCTGACCTATACCCCAGTGCTTGTATGCAGAAATAAATAACAAATCTTAAAAAAAAGCAAAACTAGAATTCATTTCCAAGTCTCAGACTGCAATACTTCTCAAATTATACATGTGTTCATTCACCTGTTAGTCTTTAAAAAAAATTTTTGTTGATATGGAAAAAGGCACAAAATGATGTAAAAATAAACTATTATATTATTTAAAATAAAATAAACAAAAATTTCAAAAAAAATTTTTTTATATCCATAAATCCAAATGAGTCGTTTATCCCTAAGTCTAGGCAATGGAACCAGCCTACCTATGTTTCTAGGGTCAGAATGAAAAACTCTGTGAGAAATGCTAAGCTATTGCAAACACTACATTAACCAAACCTCAAAAGAGGAGGGAGATGATATGATAGGATAGGACAGAAATTTCCATTATCCATACCTTCAAAATATTAATACATAATTCAGTTTAGAGTTACAAGAATGACCTAATTGCCAATGTTTTCTAAGTTCATTTTGACCTAAAAGTGTCTCAAAACAGATACAAATGTTGATTTCAATCATTTTACCTTAATCATTTGCTTATCAGTCAAAATCCTATTTCAAGAGTAAAAGAAAGCTGGCCTCCCTGGTGGTGCAAGGAGTTAAGTCTCAGCACTATGAGTGTATGAGTTCAATCCCCCAGGACAGGGAGGTGACCCACATGGCACAGCAGACCTGTCCTGTCACGCCTACTGCTCCCCTCAGCAGTGTATTTCAGTAGACCTGTCTGTTCTGTTCCCTACTCTGTCTCTGGTGAATCCTCTCACCCCCTGCACCTCTGGCATGTACCCAAGTTCTATGTATATAAATAAATAAATCTTTAAAAAAAAAAAGCTTAAGACCTAATGATATGATAAAGCTAGTTGAGGATTTGTTTAACAAACATTTGGGTTTATCAGCTGAAAACAGAGGAATTTTGAAAGACACTTCAATAAAATGTACATCAACTTAAAAGTGTTAAGTTTCACAAAAATAGCTCTTGCTTATAAAAAACCTTTAAGGTTCAGTGTAAGCGATGAATACGGCTTATGAAATACATAAGTGCTTTCAGACAACTTCAATTAAAGCTACCCCGTGTCCTCTATACCAGAGCCCGTGTAAATCTACACACGCTTCAAGTGCTTACCTTTTGTGCTCACTGTGCCATTTTGGACAAAAGCTTGAAAGTGAACATCCCAAAAGTACTGGACAACATTATCATTTGCTACATATGATAAACTATTGCACCTATAGATCTCATCCAGTGGAACTGTTAAGTTCATATGGTAATCACTCTTAAGAAGTCCTATAAAATAAGATTGACAATAGTTATTTCCAAGAAGGCGGGAGGAAAGTGCTAATACATTTATATAGACTCCCTTCTCTCTGCAGGCCCCATTCCAATCCTGAAGTGAGAAAAGACATGGCGTGGTTAGGGAATAACAAATCTACTGTGGATTAAATCCAAGGGTGAAGAGGAAAAAAAGCAATGATGTGAGCCAGCAAAGCCAGATGAGTTACAGATGGTCACACTTTGAAGCAATTCCTATGATCTAACATTGGGCTTTACTGTTAGCAATGGAAACTTAGCTTCC